GTTAAGTAGAATTTACTCTGTTAAGACTTGATTGAGTTATTTTCAGAGTTCTAGTAGTTATCGAGGTATCCTTGATGCTGTTCGAATAATTTATCAACAAAGAGGTGTGGGTGGTTTTGCTTGCGGAATGCAAGCACGGGTTGTTTTCCAGGTGGGCAATGATTTTGGCATATGTAAAGTAAAGCGCTGCGCAATTGTGCCGCTTTCAGATGCCTGCTACCGCCTTATCATGGTCCGTGTACGAGCTTTTCAAATATGTTCTTGGGTACTCTTCGAAGAAATCGTCCTAACGTTGGCGTTGTTGTGATCACTCTTAATCATTTCTTTCTTGAATATATATCAGTGATAACATCCGTATACACATATATTGAGTGATATTGTATATAAACTACCTCTCGGTTTCTATTAACCAACATTAGTTTAGGCCTGCCGTTGGAATCCTTCCCACTTCTTTACCGTCTCTTTTATATTTCATACCTCGCACTATTGTTTTATGGTAATAATCTCCATGCCAGTTGTTGAGCTGCTGAGTGCGCCTAGTTCACTTGTAGTGATATTGTTCGTATACAGATTGTTTTAACTACTAGCCCACATTGAGTGATGTTAAATAGGTAGGTTATTTAGCTAGCAATGAAGGCACTATCTTCGATTGTTGTCAGAGTTTATTTCGCCATTGATCGCTTTGGTTAGAAATTGCTGCTCTGGTGAAAGCTTTTTCTTTTTGTTTGTATGTCTGCTTAATAAGTGGCTGTACGATCAGCGCGTACTTAATTTTCGTTTTCCTGAATTTTCTTTTGTTCTATTTAGAATCAGAGTCAAAATGTTTTTGCTGAATTCTTCTGCTTATTTCGTTTGCTAATCTATTCTCAGTTTTCTCTTTTGCTTCAGAATCCAAATGTCATTACGTGATGACCAATCTCTACGGCATTTGCACATAGTTTTTTCTCATGTCACATCGAGTCACTCCTCTGCAAACAGCCAGCACGGCCTGCAATCTTAGGGCGCCTTGAGTGCAATGTTCACGTATCGATTTCCTACTACATTTAAAATTAATTCTTTCCTAAAAAAACATTCTGCTGCTTTTTTTTTTCTTTGAAAACAAGATCCTAACAGTGGAAAAGCTCTTGCAACTAAGATCGCAATGATCATTTGAATCATCTTTTTTTCTCTCCTCTTTCTTTTCGTCTCTTCCTGCAAATATCCAGGCTTTTGATTTTCATATACCCGCCCTTAATCATCCGTTCTCTCCCATTTATAATGTATCTTACCTTACCTGAAGAAAGTCAAAATTCCTACATTTTGAAATGTCACCATCTGCTATTTCATATTTTTTGAAATGTATGCTT